CTAATAAAGCAGCTTAGTGTTTTAGTAGAATAAGGCTACTTAAACACTAGCTATAGAAAGACTAGCTTTCTAACTCTTTATAACTTATACTACTTACGCTAGGTTTTAAGTAAACTTTAAAATAGCTTTAAAAGCTCTTTTTTTATCCTTCTTACTTTTTATGTTTTAGGCTGCTGCCTATAGCTTAAGATAGCTTTAAAAAACTAAAAATTTCTTTTTATAATATAAAAGAACTTATAAGTGTGTTAGTAAACTATACTCTAGCAGTATTAAACTATATTTATATAAAGTTACATTTCTTATTATGTAAAGTATAATATTTACATTTCTTTAATCTAAAAAACTAATAAAAGAACTTAACTTAAAGGCTATAAGTAAGAGCGTAGGCACCTTAAAAGTAGATAACTTAAAACGCCTCTAAAGAAGCTCTAAAAGAGAGGCAAAGCAGCATAGTAATTTTCTTTAATGCTATAATTAGTTAGTAGACTAAACTATAAGATATTAAGTGTATAATAATACTTATAAAGTAAAGATTTAAATAATAGCTAAAAAAGAAACTAACAACATTAACTAGACTATATAAGTAAAGTAAGTAAACACTTATTACTATAAATAATAAATTTGCTATATTAATAATAACTATACTGCTAGTTACTACTAAATAAAAACATTATAATAAAGGCATTATATTAGTATTAAGTTTTTAGTTTATTTCTTAGTAATAAAAAATTTTAGTTAAAATAGTTATTTTTATTATATTTTATTTAAATTAGTTTTAAAGTATTTTTAAATACTTTTTAAACACTACAGATAGAGACTATTAGCTTATAAAAGGAGGAGTAGTGTAATAATTCTATAAATTGTTTTATCTTAGGTTGCTTAGATCCTATCTAAAAGGTCCTTGTATTAGCCCTAACTATAACTTAACCTAGTCCTCTGCAGTTACCTTTATTCCCTTATGTATTTAGTCGCACCTTGCCTCTGTAGCTAGCTTAGTAGTTTTCTAATATTCTTTTGTATAAGGCCTATAGGTGTTAATAGCATTCCTAGGTTTAGAGTCTCCACGCACTCCCATATGCCTCTGAGTGGATTCCCACCGCATTCGGACCCATTGTCTTGCCTGCGCCGTTACAATAATTACTACTAATAAGAACTATTAGTCTATAAAAAGGGGGGTAGTGTAATAATTTCTATAAATTATTTTATCTTAAGTTTCTTCTATTATGTGCAAAAATCGGGGAATTTCTTAGCGTTCCTCGGATCTTTTTTTTCCTCACTAAAATTGCATGGGAGATCACAATCTTAATAGAATTCCTAATATATTAACAAATCCTTCTTAAATATCATTAGTAAGTTAAAGCCTTAACTTTATATAAAGATACTGCTCTTAGCTTAATTTTTAGAGTAACAGGACAACAATGGGCCTAAAACAGAAGGCTAGAGCAGCCCTAGCTACCCAGACGCGTTAAATTGACCTTAGTGGCGACCCACCAGCCTATTCTATGCGTGCGAGGGCACAGGGCCTGTTAAGCAAGCGCAAGGAGACTGCTAGTAGCCTTAAGGATAGTTGTAACAGCTTTATTCTAATAAATTAAGACGTTATTAAGGACTATAACTATAGGCTAGGTCCTGTAGGTTGCTTAAAGCAAAGGGAGGAGGCGCTGCTTAATCTAATTAACAAACTCTTTATAATTAAAATATCCTTCTTTTATCCCTGTACAAGGCAGGTATCTGTTTACTGTATAGGCTGGGAGGATGGCCCACGTCTTCCTGCGCCTTATATCCTAAGTATATTAACTTTTATAGCCCACAGGCCTATAAGCCTTATGCCGCTAGCTAGTTTTCTTGTTAAAGATAGACTTGTTAAAAAATACTAAATTATCCTGCGTAAACTAACAAAGAGAGCAACAGTAGAGCTTTTAAAGCTCCTTATTATAAGCCTGCAAGAAAGGCTGTAAGGTACGCCTGCTCTATCTATGCTAGACAAGGTAACAGGAGATTGTAGATTTATTAACCTTCACGCCTCTTTCTATCTATAGCTAATAGGCTTGTTTGTCCTAGTATCTCTATCTGCTGCGGATTAACTCCTTAAACAGAGCTTTGCTATCTTTATTGCTAATTTTAGAAGGTCTCCTAAGCTTCATAGTAGGTGGCTTACAGACACTGCTATAAGCCTTAAGATTGTTCTCTACATTGTGAACTACATAGAGAGAACAACTTTTATAATTAGCAATTGCAGTTCTAGGCCATCTAAGCAGGAGAAACTAACAGATGTTTATACAAACGCAATTATTAAGCCCTTAGGTGCTTAGTTTAAGATATTAGGGTAATTAGGGCCAGCTAGAAAGGATAGAGACGCCATAAGCGCAATACATCGCAAACAAACGCGTTGTTACTCCTAAAAAAGTTAGTATAGGCGCTTCTCTATACAAACTAAAGGCTTTAACCTACCTAGGGCTAATCTAATTGTTATTTGTTAATATATTAGGAATTCTATTAAGATTCTAATCTCCCATACAATTTTAGTGGGGGAAAAAAAGATCTGAGGAACGCTAAGAAATTTCCCGATTTTTGCACACAATAGTTAGAACTTATCTAAAAAGTTTTTATATTAGCTTTAACTTTAACTTAATTCTTATAAATTATATCTATCTTAGGTTGCCTAGAACTTATCTAAAGAGACCCTGTATTAGCCCTAACTCTGCCCTGCCCTTTACTATACCCCTATTCCCTTATGTATTTAGTCGCACCTTGCCTCTGTAGCTAGCTTAGTAGTTTTCTAATATCCTTTTGTATAAGGCCTATAGGTGTTAATGGCATTCCCAGGTTCTAAGTCCCCACGCACTCCCATATGCCTCTAAGTGGATTCCAACGGCATTCAGACCTATTGTCTTGCCTGTGCCGTTACACTAAGCCTCTGTCCTACCCCCAAGGAACAACATCGACCTGAGTGCTTCCTAAAGCAAGGATTGTAACAACTAGCCCTTCTAACCTCTTTTAGGCTCTAAACACTTTTTAGATAGCTTAATAAGCCTAATTTATAAAATAAAATAAAAAAAATTTTACTTATCTTTTACATTATTTTTTTTTATGTTAGTATTAACTTTAGTTAAGTATTACTAAAAGTAGTAGTTTTAGTTAGCTTTTTAAGTAGTTTTTAAGCGCTAGTTACATCTAATTCTTTTTTAGCGTTTTGCTTTAACACTATTACATAGAAATGTTGCCCTTAAGTAGTATGCTAGCTTATAGAGCAATTTAAATGTAAAGATAAGATAGTAAGTAGCATAGATTATAACAATTTTCACAAATTGTTCTATCTCAGGTCGCTTAGAACCTATCTGAAGGGTCCCTGTATCGGCCCTAACCATGACTTGACCCTGTCCCCTGCAGTTACCCCTATTCACCTAAGTATTTAGTCGCACCTCTTCTCTTAGCTAGCTTAGTAGTTTTCTAATATCCTTTGTACAAGGCCTATAGATGTTAATAGAAATTCCCAGGTTCTAAGTCCCCACGCACTTCTATATGCCTCTAAGTGGATTCTCACCGCATTTAGACCCATTGTCTTGCCTGTGCTGTCACATAGATAGCACTAAGAGTAAGCTTTTAGAGAAAAATAGAAGTGTATTATAAAAGAGACAAATTGCTGCTAAGCCTTGCTTGTTAGGATTTATGCTTATATACAAAGCACAGGTCATGTAACCTCTAAACAGGTTAGGAGAGGCTATACTAGCCTGTTCTAGAACATCTAGCCTTACACTATTCTTATTAACACTATAGCTAGCCTTACACTTAGCAAGATAGCGCGTGATTAACATAGTTAATAGATTAGCTTAATAAAACTAATTAAAGTGCTTATAATAGTAGTAATAGCAGCAAAGCTAGTATAAGTGTTTGTTAGATATGCGCACCTACTGTCAAGACAGGAGGAACGTTTGACGAAAGCTGCTACATAGTAC